GGGCATGTGCCTTGACTGGGAATCGAACCAGCGACCTCTTGGTGCATGGGTCAACGCTCAACCACTGAGCCACACTGGTGGGCAGAACCAGTTTTTGCTTTGAATCGATACCATGAATTTACCTTGACTGTCTTTGCTTTAGAATATAAGTTAAAGCGTTTGCATGTGCCCAATGAGGTGACCCTGTTTCAGAGAGCCAAGGATGTAGACCCAAAGCAGGAAGAATCAGGTGCCTTCATGGAGGCCTGCAACGGAATGTCCTGAGAAGCATTTGAGAGAGAAGTTGCATCATCGTTACCCCCACTTTCTTCCACAAAAGTCAGATGCAAGTGCTTCCTTTTCAAGGTTTATCAAGAAATCGGGGATCACAGGATTAGACACAGGATAGACAAGCAAAGAGAGATTGCTACGGCACTGTTAGGGCCCAGGCCCTCTCCTCAGGGACCTCAAGCCTCTCCCCAACCACTGTCCTCTATCGCTCCTCTCCTTTAGAGTCACCATCCTCCATCGTCTGCCACACCCCAGGTTCGCCATCCCAGATCCCCTCCACACCCCTCCAGTAGAGAAGAGTAAGAGTCACTGCTGGACTCTTAGCTTCATTTTCTGCTAACCTTTAATGAGCACCTACTGTGTGCTGGGCAAAAATTCCCTGAATTTCTCAGTGCTTCCTATGTCCCCCAACTCTCTCTGTCTCCATTATTTAGACAATGTTCTGAATGTGGTCTCAACAGAGAGGGCATTTTTACATATTGATACAGAATCTGAACTGAGTACAAAAACCTTGCCAGGTAAATGCCTTAGTTTTTCTTCTTTACTTTAAAATCAAGGATACAGACCCTTTAGGGCAGTGGTTCTCAACCTTCCTAATGCCATGACCCTTTAATACACTTCCTCATGTTGTGGTGACCCCGACCATAAAATTATATTTGTTGCTACTTCATAACTGTAATTTTGCTACTGTTAGTAATCATAGTGTAAATATCTGATATGCAGCATGTATTTTCATTGTTACAAATTGAACAGAATTGAAGCATAGTGATTAATCACAAAAACTATATGTAATTATATACTGTGAAATATTTATTTCTAATTACAAATAAATGAAATTTTGTCATGAAGCATGGTGTAGCATGGGTAACAGTCTTAATATAACAACAGTAATCTACATTGCTACATTTTGCGAGAGTATGCGTAAAAAGCCAACATCAGTGTGAAGGTTGAGATTGCTTCTTTTTCACCAGGTCAGAAATTCACCGGGCAGTCTTTGCGAGAACACAACAAAGATCATCTTGCACAACAAGTCTACTTCTGTATTTAGACTTGATACCCAACAAGCTGGAAACCCTGATTCACAATGATATGTTGTTGGAAATGGAAGAAGAAGGTGCAACACAGTCTCAGACAGAACAGGATATGACTGCAAACACTTGACCCAGAATTTTGTAACTGACATTGTAGAGAAATCAGTTCTTGCTGCATCACCATTAATAAGTTCAATGAACTACTGTTGGGTTGTCTCAGGAACATCTTCAACTTTGACTGTGAATGGGCTTCTGACAAGTAAAAATGGGGTGTCGGTATATTTGGAAAGTACTATGAAATTTCGTCTGCAAGCATCCTTTCACAGAAATTATCATTGTAATCTTTTTGTTTGGTTCAATGTCATGTTCCTCAAAAAAAAAACAGATAAGGTAGGCAACGTGTAAATTTTAGTTTCATTCAATTTTTTGTGCCAAAGCTGAAGTTTCATTTGGAACAATCGGATCTTTTCAGACAAATCGAGGCATGATGTAATGGTCCTTGCAGTGATAAATTCAACTCATTAAGATGGCAAAGATGGCAATAAAGTAAGCTATTTTCTTCAGTTCACTTTTATCACTGAAAAGTGCTTCGAGCTGCGGTCTTACTTTCTGATTTAAAAATGTTTTGAGTTCATCACAAAGCTCAAAAACACGTTTTAAAACTTGTCCTGTCATCAATCATCTCAACTCAATGTGAGATAGCAGAGCATTGTTTGGCACATCCAACTTGTTGAACAGTTGCAAAAACAGTCAACTATTTAAAGTGCTCGCTTTTCAAAATTGACAGAACTTATGACGCTTTTCATTACTTCGTGTAACTCTTATGGCAGCACCTTCATTGCTAATATTTGCCAATGAATCATACAGTGAGTTCCTATGACTTTTGGTGGCTCATTTAGTACGAAACGTTGAAATCCAGATCAACATCTTAGCATAGCTGGAGCACCATCTGCGCAAACACCACAAACCTTTTGCCAAGAGATCTTATGTTCTTTCAGAAATGAACTAACTGTGTAATACATCACGTGCAGTAGTTGTTGTTTCAAGAGGTTTGCAAAAAAGAACCTCATCTTTAAAGTTGCCATCATTAATAGACCTCATGTAATCCAGTAACTGTGAACAGTTTGCAACCTCTGTAGATTCATCAAGCTGGATGCTAAACATTGGAAGTGGAACAGATTTAATTTCCTGGATTACCTGTTCAAGAATATCAGCAGACATGTCATCTATTCTTCTGTGGACAGTGTCGTTAGATAAGGAAATTGCACTCAATTTTGTAACAAATTTGTCTCCGCTCATAACTCGAACAATGTCTTTGGCCACTGGCAACAGTAAATCCTCAGCCATGGTATGAGGTTTCATAACTCTGGCAATTCTGAGTGCCACCAATATGAAGCTTCAACGGCTGCTACATTTTGTTTGTGGTGCTTGTCACCAGTGTCGTCTGGTTTTCTTGAGTCCATCAGCTTTGCTTCTAAAATAGTAGGTATCCTTTTTTTTTTTTAAAATCCTCATCCGAGGACACTTTTCCATTTTTTGTACAGACAGAGTGGGAGGGAGAGAGGAAGAGAGAGAGAGGGAAACATCGATGTGAAAGGGACACATCGAGTGGCTGCCACCCGCACGACCAACCAGGGCCGGGGACAAACTGCAACCGAGATACATGCCCTTAGCGGGAACCGAACCCGGGCCTCTCCGGACCGCAGGGGGACGCTCTAACCGCTGAACCAAACCGGCCAGGACAATAGTTGGTATCTTGTCAGCAAAGCTTTGATGCTTGCTATCCAAATTGCGTTTTAGTATGTTTGGCTTCATAGATTCAGCTGATAGAAGTTCACAACAAATAACACATTGCAGTTTCTCAATTCCTGCAGTAATTATTGAGGTGAAACCATACTGTAAAAATCCTCACTATATATTTTTTTCTTAACATTCTTCTCTACACGATCCATTGTCATGGGATGGTTTGCTAATGAAAAGAATATATAACAATAGCTTTAACAATACAAAAGAAGATACATGGCATAGTTAAGCCAATACAGTTCATTAAAGTTTCCCATGATTTACCATTCTCTGTGTGTTTTTTTGTACATACCTGTTACTATCACAAGAGGGCAGTATTCACATCAACCACAGCTGAATATCAAAAGACCGTGCCCTGGCCTGTTTGGCTCAGCAGTTGGAGCATTGGCTTGTGGACCAGAGAGTCCTGGATTTGGTTCCCTCTAGGGGCACATACCAAAAATAAATAAATCAGCCCTGGCTGGTTTGGGTCAGCGGTTAGAGCATTAGCCCGTGGACCGGAGAGTCCCAGGTCTGGTTCCTGCTAAGGGCATGCGCCTTGGTTGGAGTTTGTTCCAGGCCCCATTTGGCGTCCTGTGGGTGGCAGCCATTTGATGTGTCTCTCTCACACATCGATGTTTCTCTGTCTCTCTTCCTCCCTCTCTCCCTGCTGCTCTATATCAATATAAATGCAAAAATGTTCTCGGGTGAGGCCAAAAAGAAAAAAAAAAGACCAATCAGCATCTAGATTAAGTTCCCATGGTACAGATATTTTATTTCTGCAGTAGTTGATGATTTTACAGTACATGATTTTACATTTGCCCAATAATTATAATTCATGAAGTAATGTTTTGCCTCCAATATTGCTGCTTTCAACCCAGTAGCTACTTTTAACAGAGTAGCTGCTTTCTACACAGTAGCGGCTCTCTACACATGTGTGACTGGTCCACATAAATACATTATGGCGCCAACCCTGTCATATACACTTGTATTTGTACAGGGTGTTTGTGATGGGGTTGGCGAGATGACATCATCATGCCGGGTACTCGTATGTGGGCTTGTCTGCATGTGGGCGGACCCGCCTGGGACCTGTACTTGGGGGTCAAAGCTGCACTCAGAGTCCAAAGTGTGGACTCTGACTCAAGGGTGCCAATTTGACAAGATGGAACAATGGTGTTGCAAAAGAAGTCCAGTGCAAACCAGCCCAAGTCCTCACCCTAGACCCTGGGAAGAGCTCCATTGCTCTACCTTCCAGGCTCCAATGGACCTCTCAGGGGCTGAGACCCATGCTATGAGACACCGTGGGGTGCCACAAGGACACTGACCTCAACCTTTTCTTTGGCTATTCTGGACCTTTCTGAGGAGCACTGGGTCAATGACTTTCCACCAGCAACTCTCATCGTCTGCAGGGCCAGACCTTCACACCTAAAGGCAGGGGTGCATCTCCATGTTTTTGGATCCACACTCCAGGTAGTGGGGCTGTGTACCTATAAAATTGGAAACAAGCTTGCACAACTAACCCTCCCTCCCTTCCCTTTCCAGAACCCCTTTTAGTTTACAATTCAACCCCCTCTTTAGAGACCCAGACAAGAAATAGAAGGGAAAATGTGTAGAGTCTGTTCTGACTTTTTAAAAATATATATTTTTATTGATTTTTAGAGATAGGGGAAGGGAGAGGGAAAGAGAGAGAGAGAAACATTAATGAAAGAGAACATCGATTGGCTACCTTCTGCTCACCCCACACTGGGGATTAGGCCCACAGCCGCATGTGCCCTGACTGGGAACCGAACTGGTGACCTCTTGGTGCATGGGTCCATGCTCAACCACTGAGACATACTGGCTGGGCAAGGTTCTGACTTTTGATGGAAGTCCCCGAAAAGACTCTGTGGAGACGCCAGAGGGCAAGTGTCTCTGTTCCAACACTCACATTGCTCAAGTGTGCCCTGGAGCCTGGCCAAGCTGCTGCCCTTGTGAAAGATATCCTGCAGAGCTTCACAGTCCAGAGACGCCATCTGAGAAGCCATTTCTGCCACGCCTCTGAAGGATTTCTCAACTAACTCCTGTAGCTCCCAGGTGAGTGCGTGTCATCAAGACTCCTTTTCTCTCCTACTGCTCTCTCCTGAACTTCCTGTGATTGTTCTCACCTGGAATGGACTCTGAAGCTCCTGGCAAACACCAAGCAGTTATATACCTTCCAGGGCTCACAAGAGTGTAGCACAAATCACATGTGCTGGGAGATTTCTGTTTCCTGGCCCTTGAAACGCTGTGGTAGAAGGACTGTGGTCGCTAAAGAAGAAAATCTCCAGTTGCTTCAGAGATACCACGATTTATCTCTTAGCAGCATTTGGTGTCTGGTCAGGGTTTGCTTGTCAGTGGCCTTGGGTGATTCCAGGGCCATTTTCTTCCTCCTTGCTTTCTTCTTTCTCTGTTCTGGGAAGGTTTTCTAGGAGGGTGCTGACAGCCACACCAGGAAGTGGGGACAGGCTGGTTTCTGCAGGACCAGCTGGTGCCATCTTGCTGCCACCTACCACCTTGAGGGACAAACACTTTCAGGACTACACAGTAAGCTCCTACGGACAAGCTACAACTAAAGGCTAAACCTGTGCCCGTCTGTCTTTTCTGCTTGCCGGCATAGTTCTGGGACATTGGAGTCTGTGGTTTCTTCAAGGAAACCTCTCCTTCCCTCTCCAGTGCCTCTACACCCAGGCTCACCCAGGTATTTCAAGGTACATTGGGTCACACTTTGCACTGAGCTGCATGAACACAATGCAAGCCTGATACCTGGAGATTGTGGGGGAGGTCGAGTCTCACTCACGACCTCCAGGCTCTGGGGACTCTGTCAGACATGTAGCCGGCTCCCAACAATCCCTTGGCTCAGGGAGTATTCCAATTACTGAGGTTATTTTGACTAAACAGGTTCAGCTAGAGGGCACACAGTGACTTTCCCAATCATCAGTTATGGAGCAGAACTATAATTCACCAATCATCTATTATGGGGTTATAAACATGCCAGTACATAGTTACTGGGGTTCACAGTCCTTCCTGATGAAGTTAAGGACCCGTCCTCGGTCCCTATTGAAGTGGGCCAGAGTCTGTGTCTGGGTGTGGATTCTGCATGTGTGGCTGGCAGGGCAGAGCCTCAGCACAGGGCGGGCCGAGGGTCATATGACCAGACACCCAGAGCTGGGACAGGCCATCTTCATGGAGTGAGAAGGTAACAGCTGTTGGAGCCTCTTTCCACACGTCCTTCCTTGCCACCCTCCCAGGTGCCAGGAGAGCTTTCACTGAGCATGTCTGCCCCATTCCCTTCTCTTCTTTGCCTTTGAGGTAGTCAGACACTCTCTGCTGTCTCCAGAACATTTTTCTGCCCCTTAGCGTTTCTACATCAACAGAGGACCTTATACTCTTTTTCCTTCTCTTTCTAATCTAGAACTTAGTTTTCTAAACCGAGCTTAGTTTTCTCAGGAATGAATTCTGTGCTGAGCCAAATGAGAAGAACCCGGGCTCAAAGGCTATGCTACCTGCCAGGCCACACAGTAGGTGGAGCAGAGCTGGATATCGAGCTCACCTGTGTCTTGATTCAAAGTGTGTCCTCTTTGTGAAAATCTCCAGTAGGTCAGGGAGACAAGGGTTCCAGACTGGAGCAGGAAGAAGGTAAGAAGACAGTTCTGGACCTTGAGACCTTGAACATAGGTTGCTCCAATTTAGGGCAGGTTGATGTGGGGAGAGGCGGGTGGAGGGAAAGAGTGAAGAGTGGGAGAACCAGGAGAAGGTGGTTGGGAAAACTGTCCTCAGGGCAAGAGGTTGCCTGAAAAATGCAATCTTATCTATTACAAAGAGTGTAAGTATACCAAAGATCATAGGGGACTGAGCAAGAATCATTAATAGTTACCAACCACCCTGAATAGGAAGAACCTGAGGACTCCACGTCAGAGAGCCTGGAGGTGGATGTGCCAACTCATACCCTGTACAGTCTTAGTTCTCCTGACTGAACACTGACCACGTTCTTGTTTCCCCCTTACCTGCCGCATATCCTCTGCAAAGCCATGTGGCTGTACCTGGCGACTCTCGTGGGCCTCTACTACCTTCTGCGCTGGTACCGGGAGAGACAGGTGGTGAGCCGCCTCCAAGACAAGTATGTCCTTATCACGGGCTGTGACTCGGGCTTCGGAAACCTGCTGGCCCGGCAGCTGGATCTGCGAGGCTTGAGGGTGCTGGCTGCATGTCTGACAGAGAAGGGGGCTGAGCAGCTGAGGGGCCAGACGTCAGACAGGCTGGAGACAGTGATCCTGGATGTCACCAAGACAGAGAGCATCGCTGCGGCTACCCAATGGGTGAAGGAGAGAACGGGGGACAGAGGTACCACACAGATTTCTCAAGTTTGTTTCTTCTCTCTTTGTGCCTGGAAGACCTCTAGTGTGCTACCTGGGGAAGATTCCCAACGTGTTTTCTATGATTTGAAGTCATACTAGCTTTCTTCCCCTCACCCAGCTTACCAGCTGAGCCCCTTTTCCTCCTACTGACCTCTCTCTCTCTGGCAATCACCATACTGTTGTCTGTGTCCATGAGTATATATATATATATATATATTTTTTTTTTGGTGGTATGTGCCCCTAGCGGGAACCGAACCTGGGACTCTCTGATCCAAAGGCCGTCGCTCAACCGCCGAGCCAAACTGGCCAGGGCCATAAGTATTTCTTTCTTTTTTAAAATCCTCACCCAGGGATATTTTTTAATCTATTTTAGACAGAGTGGGAGGGAGAGAGAGAGAGAGAAACATCTACTCGAGGGAGACACATTGACTGGTTGCTGCACGACCCCAATCAGGGCCAGGGATCGAACCGCAGCTGAGCTACATGCCCTTGACCGGAGTCGAATCCATGACTCTTTGGTCCTCGACTGATGTTCCAACAGCCAGGGACATGGTTATTTCTTTTTGTTTTCCCTCTGCCTAACCCTTTCCCCTTCTCACCCAGCCCCCAGTGCCCTCCCCTCTTATAGCTCTATGCTCTTGTGATCACTATAGCCTTTTAGTATTGTTTGATATCAGATAGCGTGATAATTTCAAATTTGTTCATCTTTCTCAAGATTGTTTTGGTTAGTCAGGGTCTTTTGTGGTTCCTTATAAATTTTAGATTTATTATTTCTAGTTCTGTGGAAAATGCCAATGGTATTTTGATAGGGATTGCATTGAATGTATAGACTGATTTCAGTAGTATAAACTTTTTAACAAGGTTAAATACTTTAAAAAAATTTTTTTTTCTTCATTGATTTTAGAGAGAGAGGAAGGGAGAGGGAGAGAGACAGAAACATCGATGAGAGAGAACATCGATCAGCTGTCCCCTGCATGGTCCCCACTGGGGATTTTGCTTACATCCTTGGCATGTGCCCCGACTGGGATTCGAACCAGCAACTTCTTAGTGCATGGGTCAACACTCAACCACTGAGCCACACCGGCAGGCTTAGGTTAATTATTTCTATCCATCAGCATAGTATATGCTTCATCTGATTTGTATCTTCTTCAGTTTCTTTCTACAATGTCTTATAATTTTCTGAGTTCAGGTCTTTTACCTCCTTGGTTAAATTTATTCCTAGGTATTTTATATTTTTAAATGAAATTTTAAATGGAATTTTAAAAAAAATTTCTCTTTCTGTGTGTTTTTGGTGTATAAAAATGCAACCGAGCTCTGGTTGGGTGGCTCAGTTGGTTGGAGCGTTGTTCCATGCACCAAAAGGTTTCAGGTTCTGTTCCCTGTCAGGGCACATATCTTGGTTGTGGGTCTGACCCCTGGTCAGGGCAAAATATGGGAGGCAACTGACTGATATTTCTCGCTCTCTCTCTTCCTCCCTTCCTCTTTCTAAAATCAATAAACATATTCTTTAGTGTTCATGTAACAAAAAAATTTTTTTAAATGCTATCAATATCTGAAGATTAGTTTTGTTTTGTTTTTATCCTCACCTGAGGACGTTTTTCCATTATTTGTTCAGATAGAGAGGGAGGGAGAAAGAGGATGAGAGAGAGAGAGAGAGAGAGAGAGAGACATCGACCTGAAAGGGACACATCGAGTGGCTGCCACCTGCACCACCAAACCATGGCCGGGGACAAACGGCAACCGAGGTACATGCCCTTAGCGGGAACCGAACACGGGTCTCTCCAGACAGCAGGCTAACGCTCTAACCGCTGAGACAAACAGGCCAGGGCTGAAGATTAGTTTTTTATCACACTACCTTTACTGAATTTATTTATCAGTTCTAATAGTTTCTTTGTGGACTCTCTAAAGTTCTGTCTGTATAATATCATGTGATATGCACCCTTTCCTTTTTTTTTTTAATGGAAGATTTTATTTATTTTTCTTTATTGATTTTAGAGAGAGAGGAAGGGAGAGACAGATAGCAACATCAATGAGAGAGAACATCGACTGCCCACCTCCTGCATGCCCCCCACTGAGGATCGGGCCCTCAACCTGGGCATGTACCCTGACTGAGAATCGAACTGGCGACCTCTTGGTGCACGGGTCGACACTTAACCACTGAGCCACACTGATTGGGCCATATGCACCCTTTCTAATTAGATGTCTTTTATTTATTTTCTTGTCTGATGGTAGGACTTCCAAAACTGTCTTGAATAGAAGTGGTGAAAGTGGACACTCTTGTCTTGTTCCTGATCTTAAGGAAATCAAAATACTTAATTTTTAATAATAGAGAATATTCTGTCTTTCTGAGTGACATTTACTAAGGCAGTATCTTATGGCGTACTATGAAATTGTTTCCTGTATTTGATTCATCATATTCAGCATAGATGATGTCTTGGCTGCCATCTCTCGGCCTGCCAGGATCTGTGCAACGCAATGAAACTATAAGCACAAGCTGCTTGGAGTCAGGGGGAGATTTGCAAAGGAGCAAATGCTTCAGATCTCTGGACACAGTTCCATTTATTTGAGATTGGTACCCCCAGGTTCCAAGTGGATTTATGTAAATTATTTCCTTGAGATGGTATTTCTGCAAACCATACACCCTAATTTTGTCTCTTGCTTTTTATGGGAAGAGACTTTGAAGCCAAAAGATAATAAACCCTTATTCACATGCAAAAGAAGCACCCAAAGCACCTGGGTGGGCCAGGTTTCTGAGAATGCATTAACACAAGGTTGAGAGTGCATTAATACATGGCTACAAAAACATCCATCTTCCAGCCCCCCCCAACCCCACACTTGGGAAACTTTTTATTTTTTTACCCAAATCTCTATAACTCCGTGCATTGATTTGGTTCTTAAAAGGAAAATATATGGTAGGAGAATATGACTCCCATAAAGGCAGGTTATGTCTCAGCAAGCCAGGGACTCAATGCTCTGGGTCAATATTTCCAGATTCCCACCGCCAGCCCTTGCCCTGTGTCTTCCTAATCCCAGCTCCTGATGCCCTGAAGTTGGTTGGTACATTTTACATCCTTGAGACTGTCTTTGCTCTTGCAGAGAGGTTTCCATAAAGTTGGGTAAATGGTCAGCCCTAGGGGGTGGGGTGGGAGTGGCAGGAGAGTTGCCTACAGTGCAGGTGGGAGGAGGGGATGGCATAGCCTGGGGCTGAGGGTGAAGTCTTTGCCTGAATGGGGGAGAGGCAGCCTCGGGTCCCCCTCAGAGCTTCCTGCAGGAACATTGCTCCATATTACTGTAGTGTGTGTCAAGGCCAGTGCCTGAGGTCTACCCCAGATCTATTCTCCACATCACCCCACACCTGAGATTATACTTGCTTTATCTAACCAAAGTGTCCTTAGATGTTCACTGTTCATTATCTTTTTGTCTTTTATACAATGTGGTTTTCTTCCTCTCTTCCACTCCGTTCTGTCTCCTGAAGAATCAACAAGCTGAAATTCCTCAAACAACTAAGGACCCTCCACCCCCATCCCGTGGACCCCGTCCCTAACACCCCCAATAAAAGAGCAACTCACTCTCCCTGCCCTGCCCTGTATTGCCAATCAGTGCACTGGCCCTTCCTTGTTTATGAGAAAGACAAATTTCCTCCCTTTTCTCTCTTCTCTCAGTTGTGAGCTCTTTCACAAGCCCGTGTCACCAGCCTAAACAAAACCCTAACAAAGGTCAGTGACCTGAGGTCAGCCACATACCTGTTCTCCACATTTCCCCACCCCTGGGATTTCAGGTCTATGTTACCGAACCAAACTGTCCCCCGATATTAGCCATTTTTTATTCTTTTGTCTTTTATTCAATGTGGTTTTCTTCCTCTCTTCCACTCCACTCTTCATTCTCTCTCTATGTCTCTCTCTTTCCCTCATTGATAGTTGACTTGATAATGTCTGCAAGGACAGCATTGATGTGTGAACAGGCAAACAAGGCTCTCTGTGATCCACACTGTGGTCTCACTAGATTTCATCAGCATCAATCCTGCCTCATCAAATGTCCTCTACCAGGCAGGGGGCTGGGCCCAAGGAATAAACCAGGAGGAAGGCATACTCTCTGTCACCAACAGCTTACAGGGTCAGCACTACCCCAAACCCTGCACACAGCGTGCAGTTACCTGTTCTACCCTCTCCCCATGCCGCCTCCTCATACTGTCCTCACTCCGTTGGACAAGAATTGGAAGCACAGCCTCATCCTCACTGCAAGTTCTCAGCAGAGTGTTGTTCTCTCCCCTCTGTGTGCCCAGGACTCTGGGGCCTGGTGAATAACGCTGGCGTCTCTGTGCCCACGGCACCCAATGAGTGGCTGACCAAACAGGACTTTATGAAGATACTCGACATAAACCTGTTGGGGGTGATTGAGGTGACCCTGAGTCTGCTGCCCCTGGTGAGGAAGGCGAGGGGCCGTGTGGTCAATGTCGCCAGCGTCATGGGTCGTGTAGTCTTCAATGGTGGGGGCTACTGCATCTCCAAGTACGGTGTCGAGGCTTTCTCCGACTCCCTCAGGTACTGGACTGGGACAGGGGCCCTCCCTCGTTTCTTCTGCTTCTGTGCTTCTGGGGGAGCCTTTTGCAAGGTGTTGACCTCACACAGCCTCAGAGCCTCTTCTTTACAGATCCTTCTCTCTTGCTTTATGCTAGGCATTCGCTGGGAAGCACATTTTTATCATCTGGGGGTTGGGATGGGCCCCTGGGCAACAGAGTTGATTCAACCTGTCCCTGACCACAATCAGAAGTATCTGGGGTAGAACTGGAACCGATATTATTCAGCTGCACAGCCCATCCCTGTACGTAACTGCTATAATAATTGGGTTCCAGGAGCCCTGTTGGCAGTGAAGCCCCAGAGAAGCACTTTATTTAGAGGAGCTTCTTCATCACATCAGCAGTAGAGACTCCACTGGCTACAGGGCTGAGGATGGCTATGATGTTGGGGAGCTGGGACCTTAGGCAGAGAGATGCTCCTTAAAGAGATGGCCGGGGGGTTGACCTGGGTGGGAGACAAGAGGGAGGAGTTTGAGGAGCATGGGAAAGATAAAATAGGCACAGCCCAGATTTTGATTGCATATGACAGAAATAAAAGAGATAGAATTTAAGTGGTGCCTTTCAGCAGAATTGGTAGGATTTAGACTTCAAAGCAAATGTCTGTAAATACTTGTAAAAATACTCAAACTCTGTAGAGAGGCAATACTATCATGATAAGTATTCTCCTCTTATCTGCTGCACTGTGCAACTCCCCAGACTTTTGAGATTAGTCTACTTACCAATCTCATATTGATGTTTTATTCGTTTTTTGTTTTTTTTTTTTCTTCTGGGTGTTTTGTTTTTTCTTTTGTCAGATCTGTGAAGCCTTTGACCTTCTGTCTGTGTGCCTTGCAGGAGGGAACTCTCCCACTTTGGGGTGAAGGTGGCCATCATCGAGCCCGGTTTTTTCAAGACCCCTTTGGCCAATCCTGAGATGATTTCTGCGAAAGCAAAGGAGGCATGGGATCAGGCCAGCCCAGAAGTCAAGGAGAGTTATGGGGAGAACTTCCTGGCATCCAGTGAGTAAGCAGTTGACCCTGGGGAGGAGAAGCAAATGATTTTCTGGCAGCCTAGGTTCATAATTAGTACCTCCTACAGTCTCAGGTCCAATCTCTATGCTCTGACTCACCCACAAACAGGGGACCTTTAGTTCCATCTCCATGGTCCTGTGTGGTCAACTAGTAACCTCAGGAAAGGATTCAGGCTTGCTAAATCTGGCACCACTGTCTTATATGAATTTCTCTCTCTCTCTTTTTTTTTTTGGTTAGAGTAGGGAGAGACAGATCCATTGATTGCTTCCTGAATGACCCGATGGGGGCTGGGAATCAAACCTGAGACCCTTTGGTCCTTGGGCCATCACTCTAACCGCTGAGCTAAACTGGCCAGGGCTGAACTTCTCATTTTGTTGAGGAGGAAACTAAAGCCAGAGAGAAAAGACACCCATGAACTCCTGGTTAGCTAGTGTTAGAGCAGCTGGCTTTCAGGTATTTATATTTCTAGTGTTTGTGGAGACCTTCAGTTCATGTATTCTAGATATCCCCAGGAATAAAGGTGAATTGGAGTGAAACAGTTGTGCCTGGGGTAGGAGTGAGCTACTAAGGAATTTGGGTGGATTCAATGTAGGGGACCAGGATTCTAGAAACTTATTCTGTAAATTGATCTTAATGTGGGAGTTGTTGGAGATGGGAATACATCTGGATATGTTCTCATTCTGGATAGCCTTGAAAGCAATGCAATTGTTGGAGAAAATGTCGACCAATGATCTGTCCTTGGTAACCGACTGCATGGAACACGCTTTGACCGCCTGCCATCCCCGCACCCGATACTCAGCTGGCTGGGATGCCAAGCTAATCTACCTTCCCATGAGCTACATGCCCACCTTCCTGGTGGATGCCATTGTCTACTGGAGAAGCCCAAGACCCACTAAGGCTGTGTGACCCACGACTGTGGAGCATAGTAGGGCGGAATTGAGTACCATGTGAGGGAGGGGACACATCTGTGGAGTATGGTGCATTTGTTCACATTCTCAGTAATGTTATTTAAGTAAAAGTAAATAATGGAGTCAAAGTTATGCATTTCTTAAAGCCAGGGAAGGTTACTGACCAAGGCAGTTTCTAATATTGCAGAATCTTGTTTCTTTCCAATGTTCCCAAGGTCAAACTCTGCCAGCCTCCACTCCCCTCACCATCCCCAACTCACCAAAAACCCTGTATTATCATCATAATTAGCTCGTTATTAATATAAGGAAGGGAGCAAAGGGAATCAAACAATAAGCTTAATAAACTGGGCAGCTGAGTCAAACATTAGGCTTAATAAACTGGGAAGCTGAAGTGATATTAGAACAGCATCCCATCGAGTTTGTTGGAAGCTAAGCATAGACAGACTCATTCACTCTCTGGGGGACTGCCACCAAGGAGGCTGAATCCTCAAAACAGACAAGAACATCCCCCTGGAGGTGCTGCCTGGCCCAACTGGATTCCCTGAGGAAGGAGGAGGGGAAATTCCTCTTCTGGACACATGTGCTTTAGAAACCAGATGACATCACACCTTTTCTACTTGGCAATCAAAATCAGGATAGCACAGGGGGAGGTGTTTCCTTTTAGACATAAGCAGTGAGAGCCAGGTTGATGACACGGAGTGGCAGAGCCTAGCCTGGGGAAAACTGGAAAGGTAATAGAATTGGATAGAAGGCGTCGAACCCCAGTACGTCCAGGAAAGGAATTGGTTGGGAGGAGGGTCTGGCTCAAACCCGCCAAGAATCAGAAAGTTGGGTTGGATGGTTTGAATGGCACCTTGTTCTCTACCATGAACCAAGAAAATATATGGAAGATTAACAGGAGCCTTGTGGCAGTTGCTTCTAGAGCCTGCCTGCTCTCTATGTCTCTGCGGGTGCATTAATTCCCTTAAGCCCTAATAAAATCTTGCCATGACGTTCAAACTTCTCCATGCATGTGCCCTTTGAAATTCTTTTCTCTCAACACTGCAGAAGAACCAGTTTTCAGTTCCGGTCAAGATGGCGGTGTAGGTAAACGCGGTATCGCGTCTTCCCACAACCACATCAAGGTTACAACTAAACTACAGAAAAACCATCATTTAAAACCGCCTGAAATCGAGCTGAATGGAAGTCCTACAACTATGGAATTAAAGCAGCAGCCACATGGAGACTAGTAGGAGGGGTCGAAGAAGGTAGGCTAGTCCCACACCCACGTGTGGCGGATAAAAATCAGGAGGATACCTCGGCTGGGAAGGCCCTCCCTGAGGACTGAGGGGTCCCTGTCTCACACCAGGCTCCCCTCTTAGGGTTCCAGTGCCAGGAGGAGAAGTCCCCATAACTTCTGGCTGGAAAAACCAGCGGGAACTGAGGCTCAGGGAAGCTGAGGCGGCTGGAGCCCCAGGCAGCTCCTCTTAAAGGGCCCGCGCACGAACTGATGAGACTCACTCCCTCTAAGCTTGAAGGGGAGGCAGCTTGAGGGGCGCCAGAGACATACAGGGAAGAACTGAGCTGTTTGGCATTGGAGTGAGGGCTGGAGAGGAGGCTTTCTCTGGGACAAACGGCTGTCAGAGCCCTTCCCTGGGGTGGCAGACAGTCGCCATATCTGAGACTTCAGCACCTGGCTCACACTGGTAGCTGGGCCCTGGTGATTCCCTGAGGCCCCGCCCCACCCAACTTTCAGGCCCACCCAAGCTGTTGCCAGTTGCTTCACCATAGGATTGGCCTGTCCTGGATTCTGCTTTAGGTTTTTCTTAAATTCTTTCAAACAAGCAGCATCTGGTCTCAGCTAGCCCCATACCTCTTGTTAAGTAATACACAGAAACAAACACAAGGAGGCAGCCAAAATGAGGAGACAAAGAAACAGGTCCCAAATGAAAGAACAGAACAATATCCAAAGAAAAGAACTAAGCGAAGTGGAGATAAGCAACCTAACAGATGCTGAGTTCAAAATACTGCTTATAAGGATGCTCAGTGAACATAGTGAGGGCCTCAAGAGCATAAAAAAGGGCCAGTCAGAAATGATGGATGCACAGTTAGAAACGAAGGAGGCTTTAACTGAAATAAAGAATAATTTACACAGATTCAATAGTAGAGTACGTAAATCCAAGAAGCAAACCATTGATTTGGAATATAAGGAAGCAAAAAATGCCCAATCAGAACAGCAGAAAGAAAAAGGCATCTAGCCCTGGCCGGTTTGGCTCAGCGGTTAGAGTGTCGGCCTGCAGTCCTGAGAGACCGGGGTTCGGTTCCCGCTAAGGGCATGTACCTCGGTTGCAATTTGTCCCCGACCCTGGTTGGTCACGCAGGTGGCAGCCACTCGATGTGTCCCTTTCACATCAATGTTTCTCTCTCTCTCTCCCTCCTGCTCTATCTGAACAAAGAATGAAAAAGTGTCCTTGGGTGAGGATAAAAAAAAAAGAAAGAAAGAAAAAGGAATCTAAAAAAATGAGGATAGTGTAAGGAGCCTCTGGGACAACTTCAAGCGTGCCAACATTCACATCTTGGGGGTGCCGGAAGGAGAAGAGAGAGAACAAGAAATTGAAAACCTGTTTGAAACAATAATGGCAGAAAACTTTCCTAACTTGGTGAAGGAAACAGACATACAAGTCCAGGAAGCACAGAGAGTCCCAAACAAGATAAACCCCAAGGGGCCCACACCAAGACACATCATCATCAAAATGCAAAAGGTTCAAGACAAGGAGAGAATCTTAAAAGCAGCAAGAGAAAAGCAGCTAGTTACCTACAAGGGAGTTCCCATAAGGCTGTCAGCTGATTTCTCAAAAGAAACTGCAGGCCAGAAGGGAGTGGCAAGAAATATTCAGAGTGATGAAACGCAAGAAACTACAACCAAAATTACTCTATCCTGCAAAGCTGTCATTTAGAATCGATGGCCATATAAAGAGTTTCCCAGACAAGAAAAAGTAAAGGAGTTCATCACCACCAAACCATTATATGAAATGATGAAGGGTCTTTTTGAAGAAAAAGATAAAATATATGAACAAACAAAATGGCAATGAGCCCTGGCCGGTTTGGCTCAGCGGTTAGAGCGTCCGCCTGCGGTCCGGAGAGACCCGGGTTCGGTTCCCGCTAAGGGCATGTACCTCGGTTGCAGTTTGTCCCCGGCCCTGGTTGGTCGTGCGGGTGGAAGCCACACGATGTGTCCCTTTCACATCGATGTTTCCCTCTCTATCTCTTCCTCTCTCTCCCTCCCACAATGTCTGTACAAAAAATGGGAAAATGTCCTCGGATGAGGATTAAAAAAAAAACAAAAAAACAAAACAAAACAAAAAATGGCAATGAATACATATCTATCGGCAATGGAATCTACAAACAAAATGAACAGGCAGAAACATTCTCGTAGATACAGAGAATATTTTGTTGGTTGCCAGATGAGAGGGGGTTGGGGGAATGGGTGAAAAAGGTGAAAGGATTAGGAAGTACAAATTCATTCCTAGAATGACAAACCTCAAAGGGAAAGGGGGTGGGGGGTGGAAAGAAATATACCAAAGAACTTATATGCATAACCAATGGACACAGACAATAGTATGGGAAAAGGTGCGAGGGGGGCAGGACAGGGGAGGAAGGGGTCAATGGGGGGCAAATGAGGAACATCTGTAATACATACAACAATAAAGATTTAAAATAAAAAATAAATAAAAAGAACCAGTTTTCACCAGTAACACCAGCACCTGCTGACGTGAGGTCTGTGGGTCGTACCACAATCCTTGTGGCTTTTCCCTGTCTCTTTTGAAAGGTTTCCTGAAAGCTGAGTGGACTGGAGACCTAGAGGGATGGAGTAAAAATGGCCTTTGGGAGGGCGAAAGGAGACAGTGACACTTCCTGGAGCCAAGGGTGCAGTCTACATGAGGGTATTGAAAGGGTTAGTAATGTTTTAAAGGGTGAAGTTAAAGTTTGCAATGCCGGACGACATACCAGACCAGTCTTACTGCAAAGTGGACAAGGGGCCATGCAGAGTATGTCAGGAACTGCCAGAAGCTAGAATTAGGGTACATAACCGACACCCCATCCCTAATTCGAGGCTGAGCCCTTCTCGGCCAGCCCGCCTGCATCCAGGCGCATGCAATGAAGCCATTCTGCTCTACATTGGCCTTGCGTTGTGGATGTGATCTCCCGCCGCCTCAGACCTTTTAGGTATGGTATGAGGCTTCCTCGCCTTTTCCAAAGCCTGCCCTGGGCATTCACTCCAGGCTGAACTTTGAAATTTTCTAGCATAGAGGGTGAACTTGTCTTCCTGAGCACATATTGCCTTGGAATAGATGCAGGTTGTTTCAAAGCTAGTTTCCTGATGTCCAATGCAGGCCTGTATCTATTTACCCTAGTGCTGGGATTTCAAGTGTGTCTTTCCCAACCAGGGTGTGGAAAGTAATTATTCATGGTTTTTCTTTTTCTCATTTCCCCCATTTCCTTTCTCTTGTCTAGTTTTTCCCTTCATTACTGTCTCTTACCCATTTCTCTCTACCTGTCTATGTCTCTCTTCTACAAGATGTTGTTGAATACTGCTCTGTTATCTCAAACTCTGTCCATGCACTTAACAAACATGAGTTTATTGCCTATGGTGTGCCAGGCACTGAGGAGCAGAAAAATGAGAAGGACCATCCCTGCCACCCAGCAGTTAAATGTGTTTGCCAACCCTGACACCCTGTAACCCAATGCTCCTATTGCCTCTCCTGCACTCTTTTTCCTCTTACCATATATCACACTGTTGTTGACTCAATAAAATAAACTTAATTGGAATGTGAATTGGAACCACACATGTGTCCACACTACAGGGTCACAGCACAGTGTTCCTCTCTTATCCCCACTGTGCCCAGGACTCTGGGGTCTGGTGAATAATGTTGGCATCTTTGTCCCCACAGCACCCAATGAGTGGCTGACAAAATGAGACTTCATACACATGCTCAGTGTGTACCTGTTGGGGGTGATTGAGGTGACCCTGAGTCTGGTGCCCCTGGTGAGGAAGGCGAGGGGCCGCAGGGTCAACCTCTTCAGTGTCTTGGATCATGTGTCTGTGTATGGTGGGGGTTAGTGCATCTCCAAGTATGGTGTCAAGGTCTTCTCAGACTGCCTTGGGTATTAGACTGAGACAGAGACCCCCGTTGGTCCTCCTGCCTCTATACTTTTGAGGAGCACTTTTCCAGGGAGTTCATTTTATATAGCTTCAGAGGCTCTTCCTTCTAGATTCCTCTCTCTTGCTTCATGCCAGGAATTCAATAGGAAGCACACTTTTACTTTTTGGGGGATCAGGATAGGCCTCAGGTGTATAAAATTTGATTCAACCTCTCTCTGT